GAGCCGCTCACGCTCGCGGGCGCTCCATCGTGTTGTCGGTTTTTTCGCGAATCCCTTTGAGTGTTACATTACAAGTCAGTCAGTCAGTCGAGCGGCGTCGTAACGAGCATTCACGAGTTCTTTAGATAAGAGTAGCGTATTAAATGAAACAAAGATAACACAACCTCCACGTCCGACATATTGAATGAAATGAATGGAGCACACATGAGCACAGTCGAGCCGAGCGTTCAAAACGAGCATTCGATGCGCCTCACCAGTTGTGGTGTAATGTAACATGCTCGCCGCGAATGTTACATTACGAGTAAATGTTACAAGTCAGTCGCCACCTTAACGGAATAACCTCTCATCAGCAGCAACAGACCCCAGTTTGAATAGTTGAGGCTCCCGCCAAGACAAAACCTCCATTAGCGTAAGCAAACTCCCGTTTTAGTTTTAAGGCTATTTTTACCATTTCCAGCAATGCGTTTCATGTGAAGGAATCGTGTTACCTAGCAAGGGACGATGTCCTGCGCTTGCGCAAGACTCTGTCCTTGGTTAGCTTTTTGGTTGGTTGTTGCCATCAAGGTTCATCGGAAGGTACAGTATTCTCCGAAAAGGTGCAATTCTTGACCAGCTGCGGGCTGTAGAGAATTCGGTAATGAACATTCACGTTCAGTAAGAATGGGAGGATTTCTTAAAGGATTCTGTTCTCTTAAGCAATTACTGTTAATAACATTATTTTTTGATGTAAATACGTCTATATTGAAGGGTCATTCCGCAAAAAAGTGTAAGGAAAATGTGTAACATGGTTACCTAGGAAATATCAACAATTTGTAAATATGGACCGACAACAATGGTCAGCTTGCGTTCATTGTTATGTTACCTAGGAAACGTCATCTGTTTACTCGGCATTGTTGTGTTACATTACTGCCGTCAACAATCCGCTTTCGTTATTGCAAAAAGAGCCGAGCTGTGAATCGGCTGTAGAAGTGCATCGTATATTAGATAATTTTGTGCTGGTAAAAACGTTTTACAATATCACAGGTACTTATCTTATATAAGAATTATTAAGAAATCTATTGTTGCGTTAGTTTGTTGCGTCATACTATGTACAAGATGGATGACATTGAATCTAAAAGACTCCATAAAGCAGAATATATGAGACAGTACAGAAAACGTAAAAAAATAGAAGTATTAAATAATGAACCTAAAGTTCAGAAAAAATACCAAAAACTAATGCTGAATATACAAGAAAATGTAGGAATCGCAAGAAGCAATTATTATTAAATAATGAATCTAAAGTTCCCAAAGAAATACCAAAAACTAATGTGAACGTATGAGGGAATACAAAATTCGCAACAAGCAATTACTTCAAGTTAATGCTTCATCATTAGCAAATACAAGCGTTCCTATAAGAATCGCGCAACCAAGGTATAACAATGCAACAGAATATTTTCATAAGCATTTTAATGAAAATATATTTGGATACGCTTGCAATGTATGTGATCGGTTATGGTTTGAAAAAGATTTGAAACAAGTTACTGATAGCCATTTAGAAGGGGGGGGGGTTGTTTGATTTTTAAACACTCTAGAGACTCTAGAGAAAGCGCTCCGAAAGACGTAAATATAATTTGAATACAGAGACGTATTTACGTCAAATTTTCCGGAACCGTGGTTCCACTGTAACTTTTTGGTGTCGTGTTTTCATCACTTTTGCCTGTCGCTGCTGGCAAACAGTATATATAATTAAATTATTCTCGTCCGTTTGGATTCGACTCCCATATTTACTTTCCCATTTCTTTATCAGCGTCCCCCCTGTATTCGACATTTGCAGTGCACTACCGTTTGATTTCGACCCGCCGCGTTCTTTACACTCTCATAGTATGACGTCACACAGGATGACGTTACGAACAGAGTAACCTTGAGCGTGTATCACTCCGCAACCTTTGTTCCAAATTCCTTGTTTACATTAGTATATAGAAATCAATTTATAAAAAATAATGTAACAGAGTGATTACATGTTGAAGATAAACTTTACTACTACTAATAAATTGTGAATATGTATGTTTTTAATAGGTGAAACTTGTATTTGTTTACACGAACTATTTTAGGCGGACGAAAATTACTTTGTGCTAAAGAAAACAATAACACAGCCGTCTCATGGTTGACCCATTCACTGTCGAAGAGCGAGGAAGGTAGTAAGGCTAGCAAGTGTAGTGTCTACAGAAGTTTATTGTCTTTCTTTGAGGTGAAGAATTTTCGGATACTACAGAAACGCAATGCCTAGTAAAGAAGAGAAGTGTGTTTTGTCGACTAGCCATAGCACTACAGCACAAGACTTTCTTGCTAGAGATATGGAGGAGCTTGTATCTGAGATTAAAGAGAACCTACGTTTATCTGCAGGACTGAAATCGCGACCAGCTTTCTCAGTGCATCATAAATCAAGGGCGTCACCTTATAGAATACCCAGCAGGAGCTGGGGTGATTCAGCTTGTGATGCGTGTTTAAGTTCGCCGAGTAACAACTGTGGTGGACATTCGTGTATTGCCGTAAACAAGAAATTGTCGGGTAAATCAACAGATTCATCTACAGCAAGTGACGATCCGTACGAGATGTTGCAGGAATTACTGCGTGATGGTAGTCTAATCAAAGAGGCGGTTCGGCGTCTTCAGAGAGGACTTTCTCCGAAACAAAGGTACTTCTATGATTCGGACGAAGAAGCACATAGTCCACTACGAATGTGCCATTTGGAGCTGTGAACAGTCTACTATTGCAAGAGAGAAAAGATTGTTGTGGTTCCTTTTGAAGTTCGCAGCTCTGCCAAGATTCGTGTACGAGACGCATGTAACGTAATTGCGTGTGTTTGTTCCACTGAGGTGGTGTTCTGTGTAATTGGCTACCGAAGGTAATTAATTGCAACTGAAGAACTTCTTGTGTTCGGTTGGCGAGGACGACGATGATGCAAGAGAATGTTATTCGTTACATAGAAACATATAGCACTCTTAGACGAGAACGTTTAGTTATAATAATACTGGTGTTTCAATTATTCGTATTGCATTAAAAAAAACAAAATCAACTGGATTACGCTTAATTTATGTGTGTTGTCTTTAAACTAATTTTTGTACGCTTACAAAAGTAACAAAATTCTGTTATATTCCCCATTTTTTGGGTTTTACGTTAGGTGAACACGATCAGTGTAAAGGGCAGTAAATCCAGTGCATGCAGTTTAAAAGTAAATGTCTTGTTGAATGGTCTATACATCATGTGAATGTTATATAATGTAAATCAATGTAAACCTATATTGAAATCGTTTACACGCTAATATGAAAACATTTTTATCTCTCACGAACCTTTGTGTTTCAGAGCTTTCGTTTAGATACATTATGTATCACATTCCTTTTGAACAGTTATTCACTGTAAATGTGTAATGCATGAAGTCACACTCCATAACATATTTATAACCCACTAAATATTGTTAATTTTCCTCTTGATCTCATGTTTATCAATGCAATGGGATGTGATGAGTAAGAAATGACTCATTGTTTGCTGTCACTGTATACATATTTTAAGCTAAACCATTGTTTACTTAATAGGTGTTTGACCTGTTGTAACAGTGTTGGTGTTTTTCGAAAGTGTGGGTTTACAACCATAACAAAAACATACTTGTATGGAAAAATGGCATGCATATTGATGGAAGAAATGCTTTTAGAAAGTGCAAATATAGTTGCAGAATATTCAGGGTGGTTTTCCTAGTTTTCTTTCATAGGGAAAGGCAGTATTCTTTGTATATTTTTTCTTTGTGTTGTTTATGTATGACTGAGTGGTATACTGGTAATCTCTTTTCATAACAATTGTATACCAATAACAAAGTTTTAGCATTTGAAAGAAAGCTAACAAATAAAAAGTGAGGAATTTGTTGTCTTACAGGGATGTTACAATGCCCTCTGAATCTTGTGTAATTGTGTGCATAATGTTGATGGAAACAATGTTCACAACAGTACAGTTTATTTTTAACATGCTTCACACAATTCAGGGATTATATATGGTACAATTTTTCACTTTGTGGAAACAAGAAACTTTTTTCTCAGTTACAAGAAAATTGTCACAAAAGATGAGTGACATTTGTACATAAGGATTTGATGAATGAGTCCATGCATTTTTCTTTACTGTGCATGTTTTAGTGCATAGGAGTCATCACTGTCCGTAATGGAGCAGTTAGAAAAGTCATTAAAATATTTAAAAATATTTAAATTGTGTTCATTATTCATTCCTGTAAAAATCCTTTCCTTCCTCCTATGTTTTTACCCTTGATGAATATCTGGGCTAGCAGTATATGAAGTTGAGGTATGTGGTTTTACTGTGTTATTTAGGTTTTTGTGATACAATGGAGAGGATATATATTTCCAGTGATAACAGTGATAAACTGAAGTGGTTAGTGTGGCGTGATGCTTGTGTTTAAATTCAGCGCCATTAGTTCAGCTTTGTTAGTCAGCTTCCCAGAGTGCGTGAGAGACGGCCACAAGTTCAACATGGCTGAAAGTTTGTTACGGTATGTAGCCTCAAGTGTTTACTATTTAATGTTTACATTACGTTTACCTTCCCTGGGTTTGGAAATTGTGTAGTAGCCAGAGTCCATTTTGAAAACATTTGTTACGTATGATATTTACTGCATTCTACTACTAGAGGTCTTGGAATTTGTCATGTGATTCGGTTGTTGGACTGTAAGTAAAACTTTATTACGTACTCTTAAAGTCAATAGTATCCATGATTAAGGCATTGGATTAATTCCGTATGCATCATCCAGAAAAATACATTTGAAATATGCCTTACAAGTTTCCTAAAATATGTTGGAATTGCTTTCGGGTGGTTCCATTCTGTTGTATGTGCGAGAGCATGCTTGCATGTGTGACCAATTTTATGAACATGAAGATCGAGACTTGATTCATATTTGCATCGTAAACTTTAAGCATCGAATGGCGTGTGTAAAGTAGTACCTAAAGGTAAATACCGCGCCGTGGATACGTACAGGATGCATGAAGGCAAAGCTGCAGTCTATCTAGGCAATAGGTGAAGGTGGCCTACCCACTCTTCCACTAGCAGAAGATGGCCCCCTCCATTCCATTTCAAACATGAATGTCGCGTAGTGTTAAGGGAAGTTATCAACACACTGGCGGCATGCGGCCCACGAATATTTTTAACCGGATGTTGAAAGCAGTGTCACATGTCTCACCGTTGATTGATTTTGTTAAAGTAAATTATTGACTGGTATATGAACTTAGTGACATTTCCCATAGTTTGTTAATTTACAATTTAAAAATGCTTTACATATTATCAAAATACGGTAAGATGTGCATGGTATGCTGCCAAGCCATTAATATCACGCGAAGTTTTGTGGAGTGTAAACTAATTTACATTCATGACTGAAGAAAAAATTGCTTGTGCATCAAGTAAGCAATGGTTAGATGTTCGTGGCGTTGCATGTTTTTTTGTTTTCGTTGCATTTACGACGAGTACTGTCTCCCCCGAAGCCCCTACATGGCATGTAGCCGGACAACTTTGATTTGCTTATCATGTGGATTGCTACAAACCTGTCAGCCTAGTCTAATGTGTTCCAAACTATTTTGACTGTGTGTGAAGTTTCCCTGTTGTAAAATGTTGAGTATTTACACTCGTTCTCAAATGTGAATAACAAGGGGTAAAACGCAAAAGCGTGGGAAGTAAATTCAATTTTACGGCCTCCGAAGCAATTATAGACATGTTGATAAACCAAACTGGGAATAGAACCATGAGTTACCTGCACTGTAGGAAAACATGGTATCAACTGAGCTTTCGCGATTAACATTATGGTGCTTACTTTTATGAAGTAACAGTTAAGAGCGTGAAAACTAAATTTGTGTATTAAAAAGAAACTGAGTGTCGATACCCAATATTTTGGCCAGGAAGTCAAGAGGGTCGACTGTCATTCTGCATACTCAAGTGAGCTCAGTCAAGGGGGGTGACAACCTACCTGGGGCCCTTGTTAGTGAAAAACGATGTTTTTAAATATATATTAAAAGAATCACGTGTATCCTTGTGTATGTGTGTCCCCCAAATAACGTTTGAAAGAGCTGACTGATTTGCATGAGATTTTGTGAGTTTAATGCCACTGGAGGTTACCCAACTTCAGTGCCGGTATATTTTTAATACCTAACATCAGCATTGTTGACATTGAAGATTCTATAAATATTGAGGTGGAAGAAATTCTAGTGCAACTTGTTATGCAGTGGTGGTTGATGTTTACAAAATATACATCTAAAAATTCAGGTGTAATTACATTTCAATACTGGAGCTGTTAAATAAGTTCAGCATTGAAAATTATGCCATTAGAGCGCCCCCCATTAGATAAATATTTTATTGTACTTCCAAAATTATCAACAAGGCTATGTTGCGAACTTCTGAGGAAGAAGCAACTTTCAGTTCAAGGTCATAGTTGTCTTTGGGGAAATACCTAAAAATGTAGATTTTTTGTTGAGGTATTTCGAATTTAAAATTGAAAATGCCATGATGACTGAACTAAGTGGTAATTGTTTTTATGTCCCAAGATGCTAGTTTAAGCACCATTATGACAAGTGTGAAATTTATTGTGACACGAGTTACAACAATATAAATATAAAGGTTTTTAACGATGGTGCATTTACGTTTCCCCTCCCATCGTTCAAAATTCTAAAACAAGACTACCTTTCGGGAGCCGGCTCTGCCCCGTGTTCAGGTGAACATCCTCCTCTGGTGGGTCAGATAGAAGGGGCTAATCCCAATCCCTGGGGTTATAACATTGTTTACAAATTATATATGTTTTAAAGATAGCAAACTGGGAAAAAGTGCATATAAACAACTGTCATATTTATTTATTTATTATTAACTGCAAATGTGTTTTTACCCGGTGGCAGTGGTGCTACACTAAGACACAACAAAACAATGAGACAACAAAACAATAAGACAAAAATTGACAGTGGAACCACGGTTCCGGAGAATCTGACGTAAATACGTCTCTGTATTTAAATTATATTTAAACAATAAATACAATGAAAGGAAGGTAGCTGAATGTAATGAAATGTAATGTCAAAATTATCTAGTCTACGACGCACTTCTACAAGCGATTCACAGCTCAGCTCTTTCCGCAATAACGAAATCGGATTGTTGACGGCAGTAATGTAACACAACAATGCCGAGTAAACAGATGACGTTTCCTAGGTAACAACAATGCACGCGAGCTGACCATTGTTGTCGGTCCATATTTACACATTGTTGATACGGATCTTACACGTTAGGTAACAACAATGCCGAGTAAACACGACGTACCCTAGGTAACCATTGTTGTCGATTTGTTGATACGAATCTTACACATTTTCGTTACACTTTTTTGCCGAATGACCCTTCCGTATAGACGTATTTACGTCAAAAAACAATAAGATACAACAAAACAACACACATCACACAAAATAACACACCACACTCAAAATAAAACAACTCATAAGATTACAAAACTATAAGGCATAAGTATTTAAACAACAGATAACCTAAAGTAGATAACTTAAAAATTAATACCAACTACACATAAGACAGTAACAGTAATGAATTACATACGTCATGAACTGATGCACTCACATTTCATCAGGACCTTCACTTCACTACACTTATGAAGCCTTCTCATCCTCACCCCGATTTACCTCCCTTCACCTCACTTCACATCACTTACTTCACTGCACCCACCCATGTATTCCCTTCACTTCACCTCATTTATCACTTTTCTAACCTTCTTCCTAAAAGTACTTGGTTTACAGGAGAGTCCCAAAAACATCCGCAGGTAGCTGGTTCCAGAGTTGGATGGTCCTAATTACAAAGGAATATTTTCCGATATCTGTTCTTTGCTTTCTGCTCCTAATTTTCCGAATATGATCGACCCTGCTCAGATACGTAATATGGCCTTTGCAATCTGTCACCTATAGCTTTCCATGCCCGTTCTCCCGTGTACGCTTTGAAGAGAGCACTTACGCGTGCTATCTTCCTACGCTGTGCCAAGGTTTCCCAGTTCGAATCGCTCCTAAGATTTTTTTTTCTGTAGGCTTAATGGCAGCAATTTTTGATCTCGATCAGCTTGTGAGTATGATGTCAATTGGAACTCTTCTTGCATATACCATTGTAGCTGCATGTGTTCTGCTTCTTCGGTAAGTTGCTCGGTGTAGTGGTAAGGGTTTGTCAAAGTTTTGTTATTGGTAATATGTTAAATAGTGTGGGATAAATTCTGCGCGTTACTGATGCGTATTACGTTAATTTGAGCAAATTATCATGAGAGTGTAGATTCTTCTGGCTGAGGACAGGAATTTGTATCATTGCCTTGTAAACACAGTCGGGAACTGTGAGGTTCCTTAAGGGGTGTGTGGGGCGGATTTATTGAGTAGCTGAGGGACTGTCAGCTTCTCAAGAAGGCCTCTGCCACATTTATTTAGTAGTTATAAGTATAGATGGATGTCCCGCGCGGTCTGAGGCATCTTGCTTCGGACCGGCGATACGGAATGCGCGCTGGTTCGAGTCTCGGAGGAGAAGAAATTTTCTCATGAGCTTTCGACCAGTGTATGGGACCGGTGCCAACTCAGCATCGTGATGAAATTGGGCGGCTACAATGGGTAGCGTAATCCGGTCATGAAAACTAGCAATGGCCGGGGGTTCTTCGTGCTGACCACACGTTATTCTGTATCTGGTTGGATGATCGTTCACCTCTGCTTAGGCATGTGAACGTGAGGCCAGCAGTCAAGTTAGTAGGCTTTGGCTCTCTGGAGCTGTTACGCCACGGATTTAATTTAATTTAATATATTATACAGTCATCTGCAAAAAATCTAATAGTCGATTCATTTACGTACGCGAGGAACAGAAGTGGACCCAATAGACTCCCTTGCGGTACACCTGACGTTACTCTGACTTCCTCTGATAATTGCCTTCCTACTCTAACTCTGCGTTCGGCCCAATATGTTGGAATAATTATATAACGTTTGCATGCTGGGGATTGATTAAATCAAACTTTTAATTTGTAACTAATGAAGGCCTAATTTTCCAGTTTGTACCATGTATAATTCTTGGAACAGTTTTGCAGAAATGCCTGTTAAAGCCTAAACTAGATTTATTTGTATGACAGTTGACCCTAATAAAGACAATCATATTGTTCAGTGTCCTTGTTTCGGTCTCATTGACATGCGATCACAGAAGCGATCGCTGTTTCGTTGCTTTAAGTTTATATTCAGCTTATGATATTTCACTTTTTTAAATAGCTTAGAGCAGGGGTTCTGACCCTTTTTCGCCGGCATACCACTAATTCTAATTTAACTCATTAAATGTACCACTAACCAAATGCGTTCAGGGAAAACTTATTTATGTTAATATTATCTTTTGATTTCCTTGCTTAGTTCGCGTACCACTCAACATTTGCTCGCTTACCAACAGTGGTACGCGTACCATAGGTTCTGAATCGCTGGCTTAGAGGGCTTTACGTTTCTGAATACACGAGAGTAATGAGTGCGATGTATTACAAAATTTGTGCAAAGTGATTTGATTTCGATCCAAGACGCTTCCTGTGAATGTCCCTGTTAATGAAATTTATTCGTCATGCAATGCCATTTTATACTTCTATAAATATTTGATCTAATGCGACGAAACGCATATTAGATTTGTTGGTAAATTTGAAGCGTTTTATACCAGAATTTATTTTTCCAGAAGTTTGTATTTATTGTTTGAATTCATTATTTTAACTCTCTTCGTGGAACTTCGCTTAATTGGGCCAAAGTGTTCTGGTCCCGATGTGTTTCAATAAACCGGAATCCACTGTATTCATAAGATTTTGCCAATATTTTTATCAGCGAGAATAGGCGTATCCATGAGATTGTCAAAATAAACAAGTTATATTATTTCACATTGTAGTGTCAAAATACGCGTCTGTAATGACAGATTTGTGTTTCCGTTTACTACGGTAATTCCAAGCAGTCGCTCAGATTGAGGTAATTTCTTTCCGCAGAAGATTAAAAATACCATTAGAGAAACGGCAAGAAACGAAGGACCACAGGTGTATCTACATACCTTTCAAAATCCACCAAATCAGCAAGTTGATTTGTATTTCTTCATACTAACAATAGCAGGTTTTCCACCCTTTGCTTGATTTCGGACAATTTATATGTTTGTTACGATTAAAACTTGATCGATAAATCCTGGAGTCAAGTACGTTAGGGGTCAAATTGTATCTAGTATCGTCAAGTTTCTAAACGCAATTTGTTTCGTATTTGAGAATTTGTGAACTTGTGTTTACAAAGTGATTTTAAATTATCTTTACACTTCTGAAAATGTGTTTTAATAAATCAAACCTGTCTACACCATGGACGTTTTAGGACAAGTAGCAACATTCAGGGTTGTTATTGTACACATGAATCGTTCGCCACCATTCAGACGTCGGGACGAAAATCGACCATACTTTCTTACATAACCAACTCCTTGAGAATTTAATTGTCGTTCAGGTTCATTACCGTACTCACAAGAGCCCGCCACTTGATCATCAGGTGAATCCAGTCCACATCCTTGGGCATAAATTGTAATCTCTGAAAGATGAGTCGTAAATCACGAAACACAAACAAATTCTATGCAACTACTATTGCGGCTACAACCCGGCTGTCAGGTTCGAGTGTCAAATACGCAGGCGTTGCACATTTTGAATGGTTTTCTTAAGACTGTCCATAAGCTTCCAGTGTGAAGGAAGCAAGTATCAAAACCTTAAAATCATTCATTATCGTTCTGTGTAAAAGATTGGTGCACCTTTGCCTAACGCATCGCGAAGGTAGAGTATATAGTACTTGGAGGTAAAGCTCCACTTATTCTTAATCTCAATATTCAGTCAGTTCTGCTTACTGATCAGAACCTGGTCCTGTCATGATCGGCCTCCCTCAAGAACATCTCCCGGTATTTCTTGCTTCAGGACTACCAACATTTGCTTTCGTGCTTGTACCATCTTCAGTCGGACTCAGAGGACACACCCCCTGTTGGGTCTGTATTCTCGGTTGTGGACACAGCCCAGTCACAATGTTTTTGTAACAACCAGACAGTGCGTATGGAGAGGTCAGCAAATAAATTGTCCAGTATCCAACAGATGCATCCAAAACCGAACTGTCACGACTCGAAAACGTGACTGGGAGATCCGGTGAGTTCAGCCTACCTGGTCCTCGTGTAACCTCAGATCAACTAAGCTTTTCTATATAACCCCTGTGTCATTTTCCGACAGATTTATTAATAGTGTTTGCGTTTTCATGTCAAACATAGGGACAAATTACAGTCCCTTATATAACCACTCATTACGTCACTAATAGAACCGTTATCTAATGAAGAGATACTTTGTGTTGTCTGTGGGTTTTAACATTACGATATGGAGACCCTTGCTTGGTAGATCGAGGAGGTATGAGTCTAACATTGAAGTGGGTCTGGGAAATAGACCTGTAAGAATGTGAAACGAGTCAGACCTACTCAGGATCTTATTCCAGAGGCAGTTTTCAAATGTTGGTGGTGTTTAGCTTCGGAGACCTAGTTTGTTAAATGAATGCGAATAAAAGCGTTGAGCGTTGCTATACATTTTTGAACTGCAAATTGATCAACATTTGTGATCAGCTGTGGTACAAGCTTTATTAAATACTTAACTTGAAGATGGCTGTCCTCACCATTTAGTCTGGTAGAAGTTTACCGACGTTTCAGAGGTCCTTGTTGCCTCCATCATCAAGGCGATGATTGTTCCGCTGTAGGAAACAAATATAACGTGAATCATATCATAGGAATTCCCCGCCCGGCGGCCATTAGGAGGCTAGTTGGTTAGTTGTCACTTCTTTCCTGGCGTATGTTTACGGTTTACTGATACCGTTACAAGATATTGTTCTGCATTATGTTGTTGTGTCTACACAGGAAGGAAGTGTTAGTAGGATATATTTGGTATTTTGCAGTACGTTTTAAAAAATAATTAGGTGCTTCTCTCTTCGTTCTTCGCTTTTTTGTGACTGATTTAACACTTCACAGGTCGGACACATTATTTGAATAATAGCAGCAAAATATTTGACATAAAACATATTTTTATGTCTTTGGACCTATTATGCTTGAAATATAAACTCGTTTATTCTTAAATGTTTCTGCTTCATTTGTTTGTTAAATACAAGAACAACTACATTGATAAACAAGTATAAAACAAAGATACAAATACTAAACAGAAAGTTCTGGAAAGATCCAGTGATGCCTGTTTCCTTTCAGATTCTTCAGCCTGAAAGGTGAAGCTAACGTTTATTACAAATTAATAAATCCGCATTTTAGTTATCAATTTTCTTATGTTTATATAATTCTCCGTACCTGATTTCACGCCGTGTTGCAGTACGTACTTATCGCCATGAAACCAGCAATGAAACAGGAATTTCGAGTACCTGACAAATTGTTTACATTATACAAGAAAGTTATTGAGCCTAGCTTGGCGAAAGTTGAACGCTTGTTAAAGATGTAGGAATTGAGGTTTTCACGGCGGTGAATATGAAGAATGCTGTCTTCTTGGTTGTTGCGCCGTAAAGTCTGGTAGATTCATCGTCCTGATGATGGAGGCGGCATGTATCTCTGAAACGTTGGTGGACATCTACCAGACCACAGGGCACAACAACCCAGAAGACAGCAATCTGCTTTTTGAAGATTTATTTCCACACAAAATTTATGGAGCGTACTTTAACAAATGTTGCTCCCTCTTCAAAGTCCACGCTGCGGCCATATTGGTATTAATGGTAGCAAATTAAAAATATTAAAGGCGAGAGCGAAGTAGCCTGTAGTGATGCTGTGCTCATACCACGAAAATCAGAAGTTCTTTCCATATATTCTTGTTTTATGTAAGCGTATTACAGACCCAATTATTATTTGTTATAAAGGACGTTCTGGAATATTTTGTACGGTAGAGGGAACAGTTTCAAGATTAATGACACTGTTTGGAGTAAATTGATGGGCCTTTGATTAACAAACCCACTTATGAAACCAACACATCACGGCTGGGTGGTTAGCAGTTCGGCTTCGTATTCGGAAGATCGTGGGTTCAAATCTCGGCTCGGAATAGACATCACCCATATTTGTCGCGGTTGTCCTCAGTCCCTTTAGGCGGGTTGTTATAGTATTTTAAATTAGGGTATGGCCGCTTTCTCCACGTAATTTCCAATTCATTAATTATCGCTGATATCAGCGTCATTTAATAAATTCGTTTGCATGGTCTAATATTTAAGTATAAGAGTATTATACACTTGTCTGGATAGTCATGTTCGGGCCAGGAACGGAAATATTTTAGTCTCGTTACCGCTGAGCCAACTTCCTTTGTATTAAACAGGTAATTTCACCCTCAAAGTTTTATAAAACATGTATATAAAAGGCTGAAATCCGCTATATTTGAGCACAAAGAATGTTTTACGGACACGCTTCCGTGACAGCGTGTACACATTCAGGTCGTTGCTCCTGACAGGCTGTCCATAACAGAACTGGATCCAGTCACATTGCTACATCAAGTTTCGAAACCATATCCAGACAAAAGAAGAAGAAACGTGGAAAAAAACTAATTGTTCATTAGCCAAAACCAATTTGCGTGGAGTTTATTTGCAATTATTAGATTGTTTCGTCGTTATAGTGGCTTCCATTCACTGCAATTTATTTGTAGCCTTTTTAGTTATAGTAACATTGTGCTAACATATTTTTTACTCATTGTTTTCTATTTGAACTTATAAGTGCCTTATTACTTCCATATGATGTTCACGAATTGCCGACAAAATTGCCATAAAAGCAGTTATGCGCAAAACAGAAATCCTTTCTTAATTTTCACTGTTTCCGCTTTATAAGAAATTCGTCACATCAAAAAACATTTCAAATAAAAGTTGCAGTTTGAATTTTATATTTTGACGCAGTTTTTGTGTACGAGTCGTTATGTGAGAAAATTTATGATTTGGGGTTTCCACGGCGATGAGCCTGAAATGGCTGTCTTCTGGGTTGTTGCGCCATGCAGTCTGGTATAAATTTACCAAACTTCTGGTAGAAGCCATCTCCTTATGAATTTAGATTTGAAGTTATAATTAAATTAATACAAAAATCATAATATTCCAACAATTTTTACCAAACTCCGTACTGTAGTTACGAAACATGCGGACAGACATTCATTTTCTGCAATTTCTTGCAAAGGACACATTGTATACTATAATGTTTGTACTTTGACAGCGAGATATTTTCTCACATAACAGTAGTGCAGTCCTTTGTATACAAAAGTAAGCATGACTCCGTGAGAGGACATTAACTGAATGTTGTCCTGTGTCTTGACGGTAACTGTAGTTCGAAAACTTTAAAGGGGTTAGTGTCGTTAAATTCTGTCCCCGAACTGCTTATCTGTAATTCACCTTCACGCTTTAACGATGTTTCGAGCGAAGGTCACCTTGTGTGCCGTCTTCAAGACGATAATTGAGCTTGTACGACCCATTTGTATAATTCGTAGGCCTTTAAATTTGACGAAATGAATTGCTTTACATCCTGAAATGTGTTTTGTTTGGAATAGGATATGTCGAAAAGACTAGAATTCAGTCGCAGGTTCAGATCCTGTGCAGACACATTTCGTTTTCTTTCGTGTTTTATTTGCTACCATACTTTGTCAGTATCAACTTCATTCTAATATGTATGTATGTATGCGTATATGTGTGTGTATGTACATTTATGGATTTAATAACACTTTAAAAAATTTTATGTCATCATTGCGTTTTGATATAGGGTTGCAGAACGATTGACCTGCATTCGAGAGACTTGGTTCGAATCTCTGCCGTTATTTACTATCCTCTTCGAGATATTAAATAGTTTCCCTATTTGCTCATGGATGGAACGTTTACATACACGACCATCGTCTTCCACATCATTTCCCACTCTCTTTGTGTTCATTAGAACAACACTGCCAATAGATTCGTTCTAACCTCTTTGTAGCACTACAACGTGTAAACAGACTACTGTTGCCTTATACGGGGAGAGGGGGGTTGCGTTCGTGCAAATCGCCACGCATACCGAAAACGCGTTAAACGGGAACCGTATATCATGCCCGTTCTGTGTGCATAATCGTATCATCTTATTCGGCGGAAAAAACTTCTACAATTGATACCTTACCGTGTTTCCTACAAGGAACAAGGAAAAGTCTGATTCGGTGTAAGTGGCCTTGGAGGATATTGAATCTTTGTTATGCAATATCAGGACATACAGATTTCAAAATGTTGCTGGTAATCAACTCTATAACAATTTACATTGGGGTGTTACGACTTTTTCTTCATATTACTGTTTCAGGGCAGGATTTTCAAAGGGCGAACATACTCTGTTTGTGTCCAACAACTTGTTTGCTGATAATCGTCGTCGTTTGTGCCAGCGCCTCACAGAAAACGCCAGCGTTCCCGAAAATGCATTCATCCTGCTTCAGGGTGGAGAGTCACTCAGCTTGTACGACACTGACGTCGAATATGTCTTCCGCCAGGTAGGATGGACACAATTGTTTAACTTATTGTTAATTTTGCGTACTGTGTAAGCAACTTTCAGTGACACCATCGTCTCATCCAACGTCATATTTGGGAGTTTGGGAATTTTGGGGTAAGGGATTTTGGAAGAACGTAATAGGTTCTGTGGAGAAGATTTTTGCATGACTCCAATAGTGAATGCATTAAATTTCGTTGTGAGGTGAGACATTGGTTAGTAACCTATTGCATTAAACTATTTCCCTTCTTGGACAGAATTTTGAATATGGATTTAATGTTTTGTTTCGAAGAATAGCCCATATTTTGGAAGTTCCGGGATCGAATTTCGATCTGGATAAAGGCTATTTTGATTCTAGTTTTTTGTGTTTCTGAAGCGCGTTCGGAATGATTTTTAGCTTTTCAATGTCTATCCGTCTGTATCAACACATTTCAACTTTGGGTGAATCAGATAACGACAACTTGCATGCTTTCCTGTCCGCGAAAGTAACTGAATCAATTATTACAGTAAATTTACTGATGTAGAGACTAATGTTAAGGAATTTAGAATAACCTTATTTTCTTTGCGTTCCCCGTTGTCCATTTTTATGACGAAGTTGGAAGACCAAGGAGTGTCAAATAAATATGTTTTTCCCTTTTGTGTTTTGTTGATTTTTGAAGCTAGATCTAGTCTGCTGATAACTGCATCAATTATAGTATAATTGTTTACGTTCTACATCGAAGAAAGTTAAGTCATACCAGTAATAAAAGCGTAAACTTTCCTGGTCGTTATATTTCATTTCTGCTTTCTGTTGCATGGTAATTATTGTGCTACCAGCTACTCTGTGCAGCAGGCGGGTTTTAAAACCGAAATAATTAGAAGGGTGCTACTTAAGTTGAGTTCCTGGTATTTATCAATGCTTGTTATTGTGATACATTTAATGTTATCGGGACCATCCCATTTCTGACGTCTTCCTTCTTCAACCTTAAGAATGCAGAATGTTAGAGGAAGAATCTTTTAAATATCCAACGTTAGTTTGGAATCAGGAAGAAAATAGAGTCTGGAGAAAATATTGCCGGTTCATGACAAACAGATATTGAGGAACTAACTGAACAGTTGTGCTTATCGCAGTTTATTTTGACTCTGGACTTTATTGTACTCCACAATATCATCCCATTTGTATTATTTTTTGTTTCTTCAGAAAACATGTGGGTCTATTTTGTTTCATATTTGGAGATTTAAAATAAATGTATTAATGATGTTTCTCGTTAAATTCATATTATATCTATATGTGTTTATTTGCGTATTTGTATGCATTCTCAGTAGTATTCAGTTCCTGTAAGCCACTTTTAAAACGTCCACTTAAGCCTTAAGCCTCTGAATGCATTGTACATAGATTAATATACAAAAATATTAATACATTTAATAAATAAGATGTTTTTAGTTGATCAATAATATTTTAGTAGACAATACGTCGCTGTTAGCATCTGGTTTTTCAGATAATGCATAAAAACTGTTTTGATCGAATCTTATGACAAAAGCTAATGAAATCGTGAGACTTCAGGTTCTCGTGGCGGGGAATGTGAAGATGACGTGTAGTCTTATTGAAGTTGGCGTTTCAGAGGTGCTTGTTGGCTCCAACATCAGATTATATTCCAGAAGACGGTCATCTTCAGTGAATGGAATAGACCAAAAATTACGGAGACTGCGAGGTTAAGCATAGCATTGAAGGTATTCTGCAGCGTTACTTTTGAACATTGTTTGAATGTTGTCTTGTATGCATAAGAGCGCCAGCCTTCCCTGCACATATTTATTTATTTAACTACGGTATCAGTAGCTTATACTATATTACGTCGAATGATAACATGAGAAATGAATTGTAAAGGTTATGGAAGGAAATTGTAGTGTCCTAATCTAAGGTCCTATCCCAGAATTTGCCTGGATGGACTGAGGAAAACCACGAAACACCCCAGTCAAGATAGCCGGTCTCCTCACAGATATTTGGTCCTGCGACCTCCCGGATACGAAGTAGGAGTAACCATTCGGCCTCTACGTTCGTTTACCGTACATGCCAAAATTGTGTTAGTGTATACATAGGGCATACATTAAGAAATTTTATTTTCTGCATTCTATCATACTTGTGTTCATCAATCCCTGTAATATACGTCATTTGTTCACAGTTTTATCTTTAATTTGAACAGTATGGTTCTATAACTTTAACAGCCTACATAATAAGTAAGTATTTTAAGGATTTCTCTTTACACTACAATAAGACCCAGGTTTAGTACATTCCACCTATGAACATGTTTGTTAAAGTTAAAGACATCGAATGACAAATGTTTAGAGCATACACTTAATTTCTTGAGAACATCACTGCAAGCTATGTGTAAGACGGTTTCAATGTTGTAAAAGTAGGGTAGGTGTAAAATTTCACTTCGCGACCTGCATAATTTGAACGATGCTGCACGTAAGTTTCGAGACGTGACTGGGGTCACTTAAAGTAGGAGAAATACGGTCGGTTGGTCTGTTCGAGTTGTGAATCGTCGTGTGGATCCCTCGTCACGATTGACGATGCCCCTGTAAATACGGCTCCGTGCATTACAAATGAATGGAGACGTGATGTACTCGGGACGAAAGAAACCGTGCGCTTTGCCAATGTCACTAGATTGTGGATATAAGGAAAACAAACGCGCATAGTGGGTAAATCAAAGACATTACCCACACATGAAATGAGACAGCGAGTTACAAGGTGTTGACGCTGGGAAATTATGTTTATAGTATACTGACAGTATACACTTCCTTCTTTGCTGAACCTCCCATCTTTCTGATCCTTTGCATTTTACTTCAAACGGTTATCAGACGCACAGATTCGCCCTTGCTACAGTATAGTTACCGCTTCTTGAGTTGTGATACTGCTGATAGAACTAAACCAATAAAATAACTAGCTAAAGCCCGGACGACCTGCTCCTGAACTCACCCAATCCGCTATCCATCGGGCACCCGGAAACATCCGCTTGTGTAAAGTGACCGAAGCGTGAAGCCGACCATACACATCCTTTTGATGCCGAGTTTAAAAATACGTGGAGCTTTTAAGTCGTCTGTATCTGAAGACACAATCTGGTACTGAAATACTTAGGTCGCTGCATCTGTTGTCTATGAATGAATATTCAGAGCAGTCGACATTGAACTGAGCCGAAGACGTAATGCAGCATTAACTCTCCAATTTGTATTTCCAGTCTAATAACAGAATACGATCAGGTAATGACCAATGACCACATGCCTCTCAGTTCTTACGTACTGATCACTTATTTTTATCTTCCCTATAACTTGAAAGTGATATGGAGTAATCTTTGCAGTTAAACACCGACCTTAAATAGATTAAAAGTCAGTCAAAGTAAAGAATGAGGTGTGTGGAAAGTTGTATTAATTTTCTCATGGTAAATTATGACGTGTTTAGAAAGGACGAATAATTTTTAAAATATTTACATTACAACCGAATAACTACCATTTTAAGAAGAACATTTATCCCAAAGCGTAGGCATAAATTCGGGATCGAATCCGAACTCTTCTGCTGGATGCCCCACTGTATACCTCACCTTCTACTTGAGTTTCCATGTAATATAGGCTACACTACGCCAATTGATAGCGGTAAACACTAGGAGAGAAGGGTTCATCGCCTATTGCTGATATTGTATAATGCGCGGATCCGGTCTGTCACACTTAGCCAGTAGAAAAGAAAGAACTGTTGTGTACAGTTTTTAAGCTTCTCTCTTTCTCTTTGAGGCCATGCTTTTAAAATTTCTCCATGAATTGTGAGAGAAGGAACTACTTTTCATTGTTCTTGATCACTGACTTCTTCTTATCCACAGACCTTATAAAAACAGTTTGTTATATTTCTTTGTATCTGACCTCTTCAGGTTTCATCCTGATGATGGAATTAAAGAAATAATATAAACAAAACAATAAAAGAGTACATCGTCAACCATTTTCTATTCCTGAATTACATGGAGAATTAACATGATCCGAGGTGATTGCTCTGGAATAACAGTCTATTGCAGAAAACACCTTTCCACTGCTGTCAGATTCATAAATGGTTATTCGCCCCAACATTCGATCAACATTGCAAGTTTCACAGTTGGAAAATAGTACGGAAAACCATACATTTAGAATGCTGGGTATGATGATACTAAATTGTGAAACAGGATTAAATATAAGGGCCGTGGCCTATTTTATTTTCCTCGAATCTCGGCTGGTACTCGATTATCATGATTGAGCTTACTGGTAGTTCGACTCATAACGAAAATGAATGTCAAAAGAAATAACCTGCAGGTTTTGATGAAAACTTCTAATCTGTTTTAAACCCAACATCCCATTTCTTTCACAGTTCTAGTGAGGGAAACCCTGGATTATTAAACCATGAACCCAGTAACCGGCCAAAAATTCCAGCTTAAGCAAAGATATTATTGACCATCCAGGTAGAGGAATATTTTTACTGTTTATGGGTGTGTCCTGAATTTATTTTCCATGTCCAACTAGATCATGATATGATTAACACGTCGGAAAATTTATATCAGTTGTTATATACACAAAACTGTTGTGCCTGGTGTGATAACCTTTGCTATCTCGTATTCAGTACAGTGTGCACGTTCTTGTTAAAAGACAGTCCAGTATTACATTGTAAATATTAACTATTCCATAAGGCAGAGTCCTTCTTAAAAAGGTAATAGTCTCTGATCTAGTCAGGAAATTCCACGCCTTTTATAGAACCCGAAAGTTCATTACCATGTTTATAAGAGGACACCACTGGTCTTTACCGTGAGCGAGATGAATGCAGTCAGTCCACACCCTATCAATTTAAGACCAATTTTAATATTTTCCCACCTTCGCCTAGATATCAATACTGAACTGTTCGCTTGAGGTTTTTACGTTTTCCTCATTTCTCCCATGCACAGACCTGCCCCACCCACTTCATCTTCCTAGATTTGATCATATGCATATATTAGCGTTTGAAGCTAAATTTTACGC